GTATAAATACATCAGTGGTTCATATAGTGAACTCGGTGTAGAGCTATTCAACTTGAGGTCATCACAGAGGACAAGGGGGCATCCTTTACGTCTGGAGGAAAAGAAATTTAATCTCCAAAACATGGAAAGGTTTCTTCACAGTGAGAGCTGTGAGAATGTGGAATAGACTCCCTCAAGAGTTGGTTCTGGCCAGCACAGTGGATTGCTTTAAAAAACGCCTGGATTCTGTCTTAGATACACAGAATATAGCTGGATACTAACATTTATAGGTAAAGTTGACCCAGTTGACTCGATTGCCTCTCAGGGGATCAGGAAGGATTTTTTTTTCCCTGCAGGAGCAAATTGGATCATGCTTTGCTGGGTTTTTTTTGCCTTCCTCTGTATCAACTGTGGGTATAGGATTATAACTTTTTTTTTTTTTTTTTTTAATGGTAGAACTGGATGGACTTTAGTCTTTTTTCAGCCATACTAACTATGTAACTATGTAAATGACTGCCTAAAGTCTGGAACCCATGGACATTACCAAAGACTGGATTTACTCGTTTCTGATGCTTTGCCAGGCTCTAACTGCAGTTCTTTGTGGGTCATTCTGCCTTTAGTTTTGCCTTCAGCAAGTGAAATGCATGCTCAATTGGACTGAGATCAGGTGATTGACTCAGCCACTGCAGAATACTCCACTTATTTTCCTTTAAAAGCTCCTGGGTTGCTTTTGCAGAGTGTTTTGGATCATTGTCCATCTGTACTGTGAAGCGACGTCCAAATCAACTTTGCTGCATTTGGCTGAATCTGGGCTGACAGTATCTCTAAACACTGTAGAATTCATCTGGCTGCTTCTGTCACATCATCAATAAACACCAATGACCCAGTGCCACTGGAAGCCATGCACGCCCATGCCATCACACTGCCTCCACCATGTTTTACAGATGAAGTTGTGTGCTTTGGATCATGAGCTGTTCCATGCCTTCTCCTCACTTTTTTTCCTTCCCGTCATTCTGGTGCAGATTCATTTTAGTTTCATCCGTCCAAAAAATACTTTTCCAGAACTGGTCTGGCTTTTTTAGATGTTTTTTGGCAAAGTCGAATCTGGCTTTTCTATTCTTCAGGCTTATGAATGGTTTATACCTTGTGGTGAACCCTCTGTATTTGCTCTCGTGAAGTCTTCTCTTGATTGTAGACTGACAATGATACATCCACCTCCTAGAGAATGTCCTTCACTTGTCTGGATGTTGTGAATGTTTTTTTCTTTACCATAGAGAGGATCCTGCGATCATCCACTGCTGTTTTCCGTGGACGTCCATGCCTTTTTATGTCGCTGAGCTCACCAGTGAGTTCTTCTTTCCTCAGAATGTACCAAACTGTTAATTTGGCCACTCCTAATGCTGCTGCTATCTCTGGATTTGTTTTGTTTTTGAAGACTTACAATGGCTTTTTTCACTTGCATGGACAGCTCCTTTGAACTCATGATGTAGGTTCACAGAAACAGATTCCAAATGCAAATACCACACTTAGAATCAACGCCAGACCTTTTACCAGCTTAATTGATGAAGAAATAACGAAGGAGTAGCCCACACCTGGCCATAAAACAGCTTTTGATTCAATTGTCCAATTACTTTTGGTCCCTTGAAAAAGGGAGGGTGGCTAATCTTAAGAACTGTAATTCCTAAACCCTTCCTCCTATTTGGATGTACATACCCTCACATTAAACCTGAGAGTGTGCTCTTTCAGCCCATATCCATTATAGAACTATAGCTTGAATATGTTTTGGTAAATACCTGAAAAAACTAAAAATTGTGCCTTGTCCAAATGTATATGGACTTAACTGTATACACACATTGTATATATTAATATAGAGAGCTACCACACTATCTTCCCTAGAAGCTTTATTATCCTAAACTCTTCTGGGAAGGCCATTTTAGGATTTTGTGGAGTGTTTTTTTAGCTGTATGGGCACAAATTCCCATAAAGCATTTGTGAGGTCAGGTGATGTGTGTGAGAATACCTGGCTCAAAATCTGAATTCTTAAGCTAGTCAAATTTTTTATTATTATTATATACAGTATTTATAAAGCGCCAATAGTTCACTCAGCGCTGTACATTACAAAGAGGGACAGAACATGTGACAGAACAATACCAATACAATGCAAAACATGAGGGGATCGAGGGCCCTGCTCTTTCGAGCTTACAATCTAGAAGGGACGGGATAGTGGTACAGGAGGAGATAGCTGTGGGGGATGGAGTGGTAGGAAGAGTGGAGGAGGTCGGTCAAGTTAGCAGGGGGTAGGCTTCCCTGAAGAGATTGGTTTTCAGGGTGCGCCTAAAGGAGAGGAGAGTAGTTGATAATCTGATGGGTTGGGGAAGGGAGTTCCAGAGGATGGGTGACACCCTGGAGAAGTCCTGGAGGCGGGCATGGGAGGAGGAGACCAGGGAACTAGAGAGAAGGAGGTCTTGTGAGGAGCGGAGTGTGCGTGCTGGGCGGTACTTGGATATTAGGTCGGTGATGTGATGTAGTTCGGGGCAGTATGGTGGACAGCTTTGTACGTCAGGGTTAGGATTTTAAATTTGATCCATTGCGCAATCGGAAGCCAGTGGAGGGATTGGCAGAGGGGGGTGGCGGAAACGGAAATTTATAACTAGGTATGGTCATTCTGGTTCATGAGAAGAAGTCGATCTGTGAAAATGCACTGCAGACCATAGGCTGCAGTGCTGATCTGTGTATTCTGACAGCTGGGAGGCAGAGGAGTTTCCCCACAGTCAGAATAGAACACACAGTGGGGAGGATTCCCGTATCCACACCAACTGTGTGAATGGGGGATTCAGTTCAGTTTTTTTTTTCATTCAGCTTGCTTGCTGAACGAAAAAAAATGGAGCCATGTATAAGCACCCTTACTCCTCAAAGGTGCTCAGTAGAGTTGAGGTCAGGGCTCTGTGCAGGCCAATTGAGTTTCTCCACACCAAACTAATTCTTCATGGACCTGGCTTTGTGTACAGAGGCATGGCCATGCTGCAATCCCTTGTGGTGTGAAAACCTAACTCCATGAAAATAACAAATTTCTAGTTTGTAATTAGTTGTGAAACGGCTTGAATATTTTCTGAATTATCAGCGATATGTACAACTAACTTAAAGAGAAATTTAGAAGGCTATCATTCAGGACCTTACAGAAGTTGCCTGTCTCTGGCTTGAATACAGATTTAGAAAGCAGCACAGTGGCTAAATGGTTAGCACTTCTGTCTGGCAGCACTTGCCTGGAGTTTGCACATTCTTCCTGTGGCTGCATAGGCTTCCTCCAGGGACTCCGGTTTCTTCCCATACTCCAAAGACATGCTAGTAGGTTTATTGGTTCCTATCTAAAACTGACCCTAGTATGTGTATGTATGAATGCGAGCTAAGGACCTTAGAGTGTATACTCCCTGAGGGTTAGGAGCTGATGCGAATGTACTATATATATATATATATATATATATATATATGTAAAGCGCTATATAAATTTACAGTGCTATACAAGTACTTGTAATAAACAAGAACTTAAAAAAGCCATAACTCCTGATCTGTACATTTGCTCTAATATAACTCCAACACCATGACAGGCAATTAATGTTTTCAGAAGGAAAGCTTAGCAATGGCAACCTCCATATTCTCTCACTACAGATTTCCTTTAATGAATTGGCTTGGAAATCCCTGGCATGCATACATACAAGCTCAAGATCTGGTATTCACAGAACACCATAGTATGGATGACTACAGGATTTTGCAGTGAGGTAGCTTGGTGTACTTACACTAGAATGATGACAAACAAAAGAAATGGGCAGATAGGCTGTGGCCATTTTAAATATTTCAGTGCTTGTCAGGAATGGACTTGCCAGTAATGGTGGGACTCACCTGCCTTGTGGGCTGCAGTACCAGGGCTGGCCAGCGGGTGCTCCCAGCAATCAGAGACTCAACCCTGCAGCCAGCCAAACACCTGAAGTTGATTATGCAGGTGTATTTAAGGGATGGCCAGACCTGCAGTCTGGGCCTTGGTGTGTGTTTTTCCTGGGCCCTGTATCTTGTTCCTGCATCCCTGTCCCCGTCCCTGTCTGATTCGTTGCTGACCCTGCCTGATCCGGACCTCTGCTGACTTCTCCTGTTTTATCCCTGGCTTGTGACCCCGACCATTCTCTGCCTGACCCCCTGTACCTACCTGCCCGATTGTTATTGACCCGGCCTGCCTGACGACGCTTGCATTGTATGTACTGTTATCTGTGGGTGGTTTGGTTTGGTTCGTTTGCACTGTGTTATGTTTTAGTATTGCACTGCGTTTATGTTTGTATTGTTAGTCTTTAATAAATTATATTGTTTATAACTTATCTGAAGCCTGCGTTTCCCTGCGTCAGTTCACATACCTCTGGTCATACCCTGGAGCCCTGACATTACACCAAGGCCAATCCTGACCAGAAGTGGCTGCACAGGGAAGCCATCTTGGCTTGTTGCTGGGAAGGATGGATCTTGATGAGGTTGTGTATTTATCTCTGCTAGTGTTTTGATGACAGAGAGTATGCTTATCAAACTCTGAAGGAGTATCCCAGGGATGAACTGCTAGAATGTATACGGATCGCTCATTGCCTAGTAGATCAGGGCACAGAGTTCTCTGAGGTGCAGCCATTGATTCAGGTTTGTGCTGAGTTGGTTTCATCTGGTACCCCCGAATGCAGGGATGAATTTTTGCCCCCATTTAGTGCCGACCAGGTAGAGTCCCTGGTATGGTTATTAGAGGATGATGTGGATTACTTTCTGGGGCGTTATTCTGCATGTTCACAACAGGTACTAAGAGATTGTATAAACGCAGTGCAGTCTTTGGTCAGACAGGCTTTGTGTAAGCTGAGCTTTGTTCAACCCGTACTGCAGACATGGTCAGACTTGTTGCACCCAGCCTCAGTCAGCTTGCAAAAACCCAGTCCTGCTTCTAATCTATTTCTTCAAAGCTATATTCCTGCATTCCCAACAGCACCTCCAGTTACAGCCCAGTATACCCTGCTATCTACCGCATGTCAGTCCCCTGCTCCCACTCGCTGCACCTATCCTGCCTTTAACCCTGTAAAGAAGCCCTCTGTAGCAACTGTTCCCTCCCCTGTTCCATCCTCCAGCTCTTCTCTGTCTCCAGCTGCTCCATCCGTTTACAAACCTGCGCTTACTTACGGTGCTCCGGTAACTAAAACCAGGAAAAGGCGAAAGTTCTTTCCAACCAATACCATCCTGCCAGTATCCAAACCGGTCAGCCTCCCATCTGAGAACCTGCCTTCCGTGGTGCAGCTTGGTGCCTCGGCGCCCACAATTCAGCCTGATGCCTCTACCCAGCCTGATGCCTCCATTCAGCCCGATGCCTCTACCCAGCATGATGTTTCTACCCAGCCTGATGAACTGATCCAGCCTGATGATTCCATTAGGCCAGTTGACTCGATGCCCGCTGTCGATCCAGACGATCAGGTACCTGATGACCCAGTACCCGCTGTCATGCCTGATGACCCGATGCCCGCTGTCGAGCCAGACGATCCAATGCCTGATGACCCAGTGCCCGCTGTCATGCCTGGTGACCCGATGCCCGCTGTCGGGCCAGATGATCCAATGTCTGACCCAGTGCCCGCGGTCATGCCAGTTGACTCGGAGCCCACTGTCGTGCCTGGTGACTCGGTGCCCACTGCCTTGCCAGATGACGCGGTGCCCGCTGGCGAGCCAAATGACCTGATGCCTGGTGACCCAGTGCCCGCTGTCGAGCCAGACAATCCCATGCCCGATGACCCAGTGCCCAGAGCCCTGACAGTGCTTAATATTATAGAGTAACTAGAACAGTGTTTCTCAACCTTTTTCAGTCAAGGCATGCTTTAAAGTTATGCAAAATCTCAAAGCACCCCATTCTAAAATGTAAAAAACTAAACTAACAATTTTACATAATGCAGCAACATCTACATATGTAGGACACTCAACTTGATTTATTTGTTCAAAGTAAATACACCTTTGCCCACTGGTACTGACTAGTATTGCAATGTTTCTCTACCTCATTCAGTTAATGTAATGGAAAGGGGCGAGGAGGGGAAAACAAAGTTGCTGTGCAGACAGCGAACATCCTCCTTATCAGCTGATGACATCAATGGTTGTTAGGATGCTGGCAGCTGGAAGGTTGTAATGGTGCACAATGAAAATCTATGATTTTGTCTAATTAAAAGGCAGAATTGGTCCACCTGCTGACTTGTTTATTTTGGGGCAATTTTTAGGCATTTTGCCAAGGCATCCTTGAGAAAACCTGAAGGCACCCAAGAGTGCTTGAGCACCCTGGTTGAAAAAGGTTGAACTAGAGTAGGTATTTAAAAGGAACGATAACCATTAGTTGGCTGACCTGGCTTATGACATTTGAGCTGTTCATAGAGGAGAGAGGATTCTCATTAGATATTTCTGCTTTTGAGTGGACTGGCCAACAATCTCATATTTATGGTGGCAAAAGATAACCCACAGCTGACTACTCCCTCGAGAAGTAACCAAAATTGTCTGAAAGCTAAACATTTTCTTGTTTGTACAGAGTAAGGAATGGTAAACCCCTGTCAAGTTTTTTTTGTTTTGCTTTTGCAATGTCTCATTGAAGAGATTTTACTTCACTTCCTAATTAAGCAGCTGTCACTGGAACAAATGTCCACATTGGAAAATTTCCCCTCTAATCTTGTTTGGTGACAACTCCAAAGTTTAGATTTTCCCTTCCTTTCAGTCCCAGCGAGACTGAATTGTCAACAGGACAAACAGAGTGGATGCATCTCCCCAGTGGGGCACAGACAGCAATAAAAACCTGATGTGGGTCTTAATCCTTCCCTGCTTTATATAAAAAAATAAATGCATAAATAGAAATGCATTACTTTAATTACCGTATTTGCCGGCGTATAAGACGACTTTTTGACCCTTGAAAATCTTCTCAAAAGTCGGGGGTCGTCTTATACGCCGGTACACATGTTTAGGGGGGCTGCGGCATTAAGTACAGGGGTTTGCAGGGGCTGATGTCTCTTACCTGGATCCAGTCCCACGACGATCTGGTCCAGGAAGCGCGGCGTCTCCTTCAGTTCGGCCACTGGATGTTCGTGCGGCTGCTCGGCTCCGCCTCCTCACCGGTGATTGGCCGCCAGAACTGTAGCTCAGGAAAGGCACACAGGCGGCCAATCACCGGCGAGGGGGCGGAGCCGAGCGGCCCCGCGAAAATTGAGTGCCGGAGCAGCAGGTAAGTGTTCTGTGTAGAGGTGCTGCTGCAACCACATATGCTGGCTGCAGCAGCACCATACGAGAACAGGGTCAGCAAGTCTCAGTGGGAGGAATAGTGCCCCATCATTGGTGTCACTGATACCAATGATGGGGCACTATTCCTCCCACTGATACCAACGATGGGGCACTATTCCTCCCCCTCACTGACACCAATGATGGGGCACTATTCCCCTTCCCACTGACACCAACGATGGGGCACTATTCCACCCCCCACGGACACCAATGATGGGGCACTATTCCACCCCTCACTGACACCAATGATGGGACACCATTCCTCCCACTGACATCAATGATGGGGCACTATTCCTCCCACTGACACCAATGATGGGGCACTATTCCTGCCACTGATACCAATGATGGAGCACTATTCCTCCCACTGACACCAATGATGGGGCACTGTTCCTCCCACTGACACCAATGATGGAGCACTATTCCTCCACTGATACTAATGATAGGGCACTATTCCTGCCACTAATGCCAATGATGGGGCACTATTCCTCCCACTGACATCAATGATGGGGCACTATTCCTCCCACTGGTGTGCATTGGAAGAGGGGTAGTCTTATATGGCGAGTATAGCCCAAACACTACATTTTAGCAGGAAAAGTAGGGGGGTCGTCTTATACGCCCAGTCGTCTTATACGCCGGCAAATACGGTACTATTCTTTCTGCCATGGTAAGGTGTCACTGGTTTTAACTTCTCTTTAATTTCTTCATATTTGTATGAGCTTTTATCCTGTGCACGTTTTTTGTGACAGATGACTGACAGATATGCCTTCGACTACCCTGGTATGTCCATGGTCCATTATAGGCTCCATCTCATTTATTAGTAGTACTTGCTATGGCTTACTTCATGTTGTATTTTTCTATATTAAATCAGCATTTTAGAACGTGCCAACTTCTTGCAAATATTCTCACACTGTATCATTTCTTTAATTCTATTCTCATTTATTTATACATTTTCCACATTCCTAGATGTCTCTTCCTGCTGCTTTCAACATTTAGACAGATGAAGCTGAGTCATGCAGTGAATTTCAAAGAAAAATGTACCATTTCAAATAATAATCGGACCAGCTTTTCAGACTCCCCTCTGTACTTGGACGTTAATGTTGAAGAAGAAACATTGAAAAATGTTGTTCCGCATTCTGTGGCTACAGCTTTAGCCAGCATAGTTTTGCCAGTTCCAGGTGGTCCAACCATTAGAACACCCTGAAAGGGAATAGATTAGGTTTATATTACAGTTTTGTTTATATGCAAAAATTATAAACAAACTTAGAATAAAAAGGACCTTTATTACTCATTAAATATATTTCAATAAAAAAAGAAATCTACACATTTTAAATCTATAAAGGAGAGCTGATACTGCTCTCTGTATACATCAGATTTTACTTCATTTTACAAAGCATCCATAAAAAAAAAAAAAAAAAAAAAAAAAAAAAAAAAAAAAGACTATGGTGTGTAGCCTGTGCTGTCTGCCAGATGTGTGAATTAGCACATTTGTCAAGCAGCACTTAGGTCCTCAGTTCGATCTTGGCCAGGACACTATCTGCCTGGAGTTTACATGTTCTTTCTGTGCTTGCATGGGTTACCTCTGGGTACTCTTCCCAAAGCAGAAAGACACCCTAACAGGTAATTGGCTCCTGAGGAAAAGGAATTTATAATCTGTAAAGAGCTGCATAAAATTTTAGGCACTATATATAGGGTCTAATGCACACTAGAAAAGCTAAAAACTACTTTAGAAACGCTGGGCAAAAAAACGCTAATGCTTTAGCATTTTTGTTGGCGTTTAGCAATGTTTAGCCTAGGGTGTAAGCTAAGTTTAGTAGCTTCAGCGTTAACAAGCTGGGCTTTTGTTAATGAGAGGGCCAGGAAGTCCACTGCAGCCTTAACCATGGATGAGTCATCAGGGGGTTCTCCACTGACAGCTGAATTAAAAAAAAAAAAAAAAAAAATCATTGCTGGCAATAATAATAATAAAAAAAAAAAAAAAAGTGAAAAAAAAACTAGCGTGGGAGTCCCCTCCAATCCATACCAGGCCCTTTGGGTCTGGTATGTATTCTAAGGGGAACCCCATGCCAAAATAAAAGAAAAAAAAACTGCATGGGTACACCCAAAATCCATACCGGACCCTTATCCGAGCATGCAGTCTGGCAGGCCAGGAAAAGGGTGGGGACGAGCGAGCACCTTCCCATATCATACCAGGTTACATGCTCTCAACATGGGGGATGGTGTCCCCATGTTGTCCAAGGTCCTCTTCCCCACAACCCTGGCCGGTGGGTTGTGGGGGTCTGGCCGCCAAAATTCCAGAATTACCTGGCTGAGGCATGCATTCAGTTTATGCTGAATTATAAAATGTTGGGTGTACTAATCTTTAAAACAAACATTTTATATATTTAACTTTCACTGTACACAGTGGTGAAAATAATTATTTGATCCCTTGCAGATTTTGCAAGTTTGTCCACTTACAAAGAAATGAAGGGTCTTTAATTTTTTATCATAGGTGTATTTTAAATGATAGAGACAGAATATCAATCAACAATCCAGAAAAAACACATGATACAAATGTCATAAATGGAGTTGCAGATCAGCGAGTAAAATAAGTATTTGATCCCCAAGCAAAACATGACTTTGTACTTGGTGGAGAAACCCTTGTTGGCCAGCACAGAGGTAAGATGTTTCTTGTAGTTGGTTATCAGGTTTGCACATATCTCAAGAGGTATTTTGTTCCTCTCTTCTTTACAGATCTTCTCTAAATCCTTAAGGTTTCTTGCGGTTTGGCAACTCGAAGTCTCAGCTCCTTCCCTAAATTGTCTATAGGATAAAGGTCTAGAGACTGGCTAGGCCACTCCGTGACCTTAATGTGCTTCTTCTTCAGCCACTCCTTTGTTGCCTTGGCGGTATGTTTCGAGTCATTGTCATGCTGGAAGACCCATCCATGACCCATCTTCAGTGTTCTGGCTGAGGAAAGAAGGTTCTCATCCAAGATTTTACAATACATGGCATGGCAGAGAAAGAGCCCCAAAGCATAATGTTTCCACCTCCGTGCTTGACTGTAGGGATGGTGTTCTTAGGGTCATAGTCAGCATTTTTCTTCCTCCAAACACAGCGAGTCGAGTCAATTTTGGTCTCATCTGACCACAGCACTTTCTCCCAATCCTTCTCTGAATCATTTCGATGTTCACTGGCAAACTTCAGATGGGCCTGTACATGTGCCTTCTTGAGGAGGGGGACCTTGCGTACGCTGAAGGATTTCAATCCATGGCGGCGTATTGTGTTACCAATATTTTTTTTCGCAACTGTGGTCCCAACTGCCTTGAGATCATTCACAAGCTCCTCCCATGTAGTTCCGGGCTGATCCCTCACTTTTCTCATGATTATTATTATTGCACAGCATTTATATAGCGCCAACAGTTTGCTCAGCACTGTACATTACAATGGGAGACAATACATGAGACAGTACAGTAACAATACAATAAAATACACGAGGGGTTCGAGGGCCCTGCTCCTTGGA